ATACCACATGCAAAAAGTTATATCATGTCATCCATAATTTGTACAAATTTCACTAATTTCAATTTGGAAGTGAATAAGTTACATAAATTTATACCACGGAGTAAAAACTAAAAAGAAACACTTAAGCCAAATTCATTTATGATTCGTCTGGATGGAAAATAGTCATCCTCTCATTTTTTCGGTGTTTGCCTATTTTTTTTTGAAAAAGATGTCTACAAAATGAACCATATTTGAACGATATTGTCCTCCCCTTCTTCTGGTAGCATACATTTTACATGTTCTATTTTTCAAATAAAAACTTGTCATTCTATATTAGGAAAAATTTACATGAATACTTTCCATATGTAATTTTCCATTAAAAACATCCAAATTATTCTGCCTTTATCGATTATCCATCGTCTTCTTGCATATATTTCATTCTTCTTAACTTTCTAAGGGTGCACTTTCTTGGTCTGAACTTTTGAAGGGGTGGAGTCGGTCATGTGTCACATTTTAATTGGTGGGACATGGAATTTAATACTAGAATCACGAACAAAATACTCACAAAATGCACAAAATTATCATTTGTGTAATTTAGTTTTTATTTTTTTACTTATTTGAGACCATTATTTGAATGCATTGCTTTACATATATTTAATAAGTTTGTAAATTTTGTAATGTTTTGTTTGTAAATATGACATTATTTAATAGAATTCGGACACGAATTTAGAACAGAGGATCCGAGTCCCAATATAATACTTCCTCCATCCCAATAATGTTTTACACTTTAAACAAAAAACGAAATGTTAATTTTTTTTATTTCATTTTATTTAAAAATTAATATAGAAATAAAACCTATGAAAAAAATTAGTATAGAAATTAAAAATAAAACTTACATATTTAAAAATTTAGTCAAAAGTTCTATAAAATAATATGTTACAATAATATTTTATTTTATCAAATAATCAGTTAAAACACACAAATAAACAAAAATTTACGTGATTTTTGAATAGTGAATAGTGCAAATCGTTTTTGGACGAAGAGAGTACTAACATTTTGTAGTTGCTTCTTCCAACTCTGTGGAGTACCCCTTACTCTTTGCTGCTTCAATTCATCTTGAACCTTTTTATTGCACCATCGTCTCAAATTAAAACATCAGTTTCGATTTATAATGTGTCAGTGAAGTTATTTTCAATTTAATTTGTTTGAATTGAGATGTAATTAAAGCATAAATACTACATATTTTAAAACTACATAAAAATTTTACAAAACAATATATGACATTACGATATTATTTTATTCAAATGAGTCGCAAAAATAGGTAAAAAATGTGAGTAAAATTTGAATCTATGATTAATAAACTGTTGGAAATTTTAAGTAAATTGAACTTTTTCGGACATAAATTCGGTAGGGTCTACAAAATTATTTTCCGAAATAATTATGGACGTTTAATCTCGTAAGTAAGACGGATGTCTCGACATATGACACGCCATAAACGGTGCTAGGGTAAATGAGAAATTAATTCTCAAAGTTGAATACTAAGGTAGAGTAAATACCTTTTGTCCCACACCGGTTTCTAAACCTTTCGTATTCTCATATTTAAGCTTTGGCATTGAATTGAGCTTATGAAAGGAACAAGAAGAGGACTCCTCGCGCGCCGCCGTCCGGCTCAGCACGACACGCGCGCGCGCCGGGTCAGGGCATGGCGAGGCGAGGCACGGCGTGTACACTTCGTTAATAACGAAGTATTAACAAAGTGTACGGAGTTATAGCATGCATGCATCCATCCGAAGGGTTGCCGATGACTCCTCGGGAGTTCCGCCAAGACTGTCCTGGTACGTCCATATCAACTCCTATATAAGGAGTGGTCTGTTTGCAGTAGAAAACCACGAAGAAAATTCGAAATCCAGTGTTCTCTGCGTCCAACTCTTTCTCCCCATTCCCGATAAAATACTCCGGCAGTAACTTCATCTTTCTCGTTCGACGGTGCACGGTTCTACCGGCCTAGACCTTGCACGAAGCGGTTTTATCTTGGAAGGAGATTGCCCACGTTTGCCAGTGCGAGAGGCGAGCAATACTACCTTAAGGAAAGCTCTGGCGACTCCGCTTTCCTTACCTTTACTTCGAGAAACTACTCCGCGACACACAACTCTCCGTCCGAAGTCACCACCTTCATGTCCGTTTGTGTTCCTCCATTCCGTTTGAGCGTCCAAGAACTCCAATTTTATTTTCTTTATTTCCTTTGTAAAAATCCGAACGTTTTATAAGTTCGGATTAATTTTTATTTTTATTTTTCCCGTTCTTGGAAGGAGATTGCCCACGTTTGCCAGTGCGAGAGGCGAGCAATACTACCTTAAGGAAAGCTCTGGCGACTCCGCTTTCCTTACCTTTACTTCGAGAAACTACTCCGCGACACACAACTCTCCGTCCGAAGTCACCACCTTCATGTCCGTTTGTGTTCCTCCATTCCGTTTGAGCGTCCAAGAACTCCAATTTTATTTTCTTTATTTCCTTTGTAAAAATCCGAACGTTTTATAAGTTCGGATTAATTTTTATTTTTATTTTTCCCGCTGTAATATTCAACATAAACAAGCAACTTAAATTAGGACTTAATACTGATAGTGTATAACGCATTACCAAGTACGGAGTAACATTATGATTATTTAGAAGGTGAAGGTTCAAGTGACATTCAGAGTCAAAATCAACTTGTGGGGTGCAATTGAAGGGTGTGGAGTGCGTGTTCGGGTCGGAACGGGGTGGGGTGTAGCAAGGGGGTTAGGAGGAGTATGAACCATCAATTTTATGAACGGGGCACCAGAGCAACCCCGGGTCATCCCATAATATTAGTTTCCAATGTCATAAGAATCTTGGTGTACTTACAAATGTGAAGCGATAAAGCATTATGGAATTTTTTTTAGAAGATGGACATTTCGCACGGTGAATATATAGCGATAGGCCCAATAACACAAGCTCATTAGCAAATGGCCTTAACCCAAGTGAGATTAGCGGACGGAGGGCCTGTCCAAATTAATTGGCAATGAACCGATTGTGTGAAGATTGACTAATGATAATCGATAATCAGTCCATCACCATTTCCATTAAATTTTTAACTTTCAGTTTTTTCTTAAATTTCATTTAGTTTTTTTTTTGGTTTTTTTCAAATTTCCAAATTTCTTTTAGTTTCTTTTCAGTTTTTTCAAATTTCTTTAATGTTTTTCCAATTACTCCCATTTTCTTCAATCTTTTTCTAGTTCTCAAATAATGACACTAAAAAGATAGTTTTCATATATTATAATTATTATTACTTTTCTTCTTATTATTATTATTATTATTATTAAGTTCGTATCTATAGTGTATTTTTCAATTCCTCAATTTTTATTTTATCCCATGTCACTATTTTTGTGATTCACATTCATTATTATATTTTATTTCATTTTTATATAAATAATATGGAATACAATTTTATTGTAAAATTGTTTTTTAATTAATTTACACGATACTAAACTATATTAAAAAAATTAGAGATATTATGTTAATCTAAATTTCATTTTTATTGTACCTCCTTCAATTAATAATAATAATAATAATAATGTTAATAACAATAACAACATTATTATATTTTATTTCATTTTTATTGTACCTCCTTCATTTAATAATAATAATATTGTACATTCATTATTATATTTTATTTCATTCTTATTGTACCTCCTTCAATTAATAATAATAATAATGTTAATAATAATGATGTTAATAACAATAACAACAACAACAACATGCACAACAATAACAATCATAATAAGAATAATATGTGAAATACATGTAAATTAATTTTTGAAGTTGTTCTAGTTTTTTCTGATTTTTTTAGTTTTTCCAGTTTTTTTTTTATTTTTAAAGTTTCTTCTAGCTCCTTCCCATTCTTTTTATTTCTTCCAATTTTTCCTACCATCTAGCTCTTTCTTTCAGTTCTAAAGAATATACTCTAAGCTTTTTTTAATTTCTATAGCATTTTATAAATAAATTAAATTCTAAAAACATGCTCTCTCTCCATCTTGCCATTTTGTCTAATTTTAAAATAATTATGTTCATAACTATAGTTTATAAATTATTTTTTTCATCTCATTATTTGTACAACTCACTATCGTTATTTTTTTTCTTCAACTTTTTAATATGAATAAGATAATTTTTTTGTATATTAATATACATGATAAAATAGTTACATAGAATGTTTTATTAGTCTAACTTTATTAGTCTAATTTTTATAAAAATATTTTGAAAGTCAAAATAGTTTAGAAAAAAAGACTAAAATAAGAGTTCAACATAAAAACATGTATAAAAAAAATTCTTTGTTTTTATCCCAAAAATATGAGTTACAATGTCAATCAAAAAACAAAAAATAAGTTTGATTACATTATGTGATAAGTTTGATTTTTAAAACAAAAATCTTATAATGTATAAAGTATAATTATAAATATATATTTTATAATAAATACTTCATAAATAAATTGAGGCATAGTGTAACCACAATAACTTTTTAAAATTTAACATTTTGATATTTATGCTAACTTTATTTTATTTTATTTTTTTGCAAAAATATTTTTTTTTTATGAAAAATAATAATACATTTTTTATCTTAAAGATATTAATTAAGATAATGTGATGATGATGTGATGATGATGATGATGATGATAATAATAATAATAATAATAATAATAATAATAATTTATAACAACAAGAATTAGAATGTAAATAATATAAAAATACACTAAAATAAATTTTTTAAAAGTTTTTTTTGGTTTTCCAGTTTTTTGAAGTTTTTTCAGTGTTTTCAAATTTATTCTAGTTTTTTTGAATTTCTTCCAGTTACCTCTAATTTCTTCTCGATTCTTTAAGATTTTTTTAGTTCTTTTAGTTCTTTCCAGTTTTTTCCAACATACAACTTTTTTTCCAGTCTTAAAAGAGAGGTTCTTAATGTGTAATCAAATGAAATCAAGGCTTCTTAATATACACGAAATCAGTCATTGGGTTGCCCAACAAAAATCCATCTCAAAGTTTATCATCCAACCTCTTTCCCCTTCCCACAGTATTTCTACATCTTTTTTTTGTCGGACTATTTCTCCGACTAAAATAAACCTTTCCTTAGTTTCATCGTCGATCTCAAATCTCTCGTTTTCAAATTAGGTATATTTGCTCATCCGTTCGTATAAATGTATAATTCGTGCTAACCTGTGCTTTTTTGTCTGGAATAATTTCAACCCCATGCGAGATGTATCTTTGTTTTGTATTGATTCAATAGAATAGAATTCTAATTTTGATTTAGAACAAGGGCCAGAAATTTTTATTGATTATATGCCTTGATCCATTTCGTTTGATCAACGGTTCGTTTTCTATTCTATGATCGTTTATATGCGTGTGATTTGGATGTATTTGGTTTGTATTTTGATCAAAAGCTGTGATCTTTTTAAGAAGTTCTAGCAAAAGCGCCTTCTAGATAGGTGTAATGGTTGATAGATGTTTTTTTGAGCTTTCTTTTCATTTCAATATAAGGTCTTTGAGGTTCATTTGTAGTTTTTATTCCTAGGAATTATTTTTACTGTGAATTTCTACCACAAACATCCCAATTTAGTTCATCTATAGGTTTCTTGATTTGATTTCTCCATTTTTTGGGGGGTTGAAATTCTGGTTAAATTTGACAAAGAAAGATTTATGACTATTCAGACTAAAACAGAAACTTCTTTTTACATTGTCAAGCATACCGTTTTGATATGTTTAAAATAACATGCATACCTCCTTTTTTCAAGGGTATTTGATTGTGGATCGAGCGTTGATCTAATCCTCTTGACATACTACTGTAATGAACACTGGAGGATTTGATTTGCTTGGGTTTAGTGTAGTCAACGTATGAAGTGTTTTTGCCATCATTGGGGCTTTGCCATTGTATGTCTTGCCAACACTTATAATGAAACGATGATGCATTGGTTCTGTGTAATGACATTTTAAGCAACTTCTATTAGTAGCTTTCAGGGTGGTCTGTATTTAGCTTGGTCTTATAACTAGTTATGCCTCTACTGTGTGTCTGTGTGTTTAATGGGTGAAAAAGCATTGCCAGTGAGTTTAAGATTTGTGAAGTCGTCAGCACAGTGGGTATGCTATTTATGATAACTTATTTAATATTTCTATAGACTATGTTTGTTTCAAGGAATTATGAAGGAAAGGAAAATAAAAAGATTTCTTTCATTTTCCTCACCAAAATGGAAGGAATCATGTTTTACCTCTTCTTAGCTTATTTTAGCTTATCATTTTCATTTCCTCTCTAGCCAAACATGTAAATTTGTTTTTCGTCTCATATTATTCTCTTTCCCCCCCTCAAATTCCTTGAACCAAACATTGTGTAAGTTATTTTCTGCAAAGACCAGGTGTGTGTTTCTAGCCCCACCTTAACCTGGTCTCTTTAAACTCTTTGCTGTTTAGTAAAACATGCATGATATGTGTATTCGCGTGGCAGGGCATTGCAGGATGGAGTCATCAAAAGAGACAGGTTTCCAAGCCTCAGAAGGTCCAACCTTTTGCATCAACAATTGCGGATTCTTTGGCAGTGCAGCCACCATGAACATGTGCTCCAAGTGTCACAAAGACATGGTCTTGAAGAAGGAACATGCCAAGCTTGCTGCTTCGTCCATTGAGAACTTTGTTAATGGAAGCACAAGCAACAGCACCAAAGAACCCGTGGTTGCCGGCGTGATTGATGTGAAATCTGGACCTGTGGATTTGAAGGTCATCTCCCCTCAAGCCTCTACTGGTTCATCATCATCAACAGGTGATCTGGGTGCTGAGGTGAAGGTGAAAGAAGGGCCAAGCAGGTGCAATACTTGTCGCAAACGTGTGGGTCTGACCGGGTTCACTTGCAAGTGTGGAAACCTCTTCTGTGCGACTCATCGCTACTCTGACAAACACGAATGCCCATACGACTACCAGAATGCTGGCCGGGATGCCATTGCCAAGGCAAATCCGGTTGTTGTTGCCAAAAAGCTCGACAAGATATAGGCAGCTTGGGGAGTGATTGGGGTCTTACAAAATGCTTCACGCCGTTAGATATGTAAGCCATTTATCTGTTTCCCTTTTGGATCCAATGAAATGGTACACAGCCTTTGAAAGAAAGACTGGGCATCGATCTTTGCAAGTTTGAAAATGAACTCCTGAAGTTGTTCTTGTTAATTCCTATAAACTTATCTCTTGTGTGCATGTCATTATTTATGCTGTGGCTTTGGTGGGCAAACTCTTTGGGGTTTGTAACTTGTAATGAATAAGTGAATATCTATCTTTTACTTTTATGTTCTCCGTTTTTGCATCGTTTATTCTTTTCTTCTTTTCTTCTTTTCTGGGTTTGCTTGTTCACTGTTATTGTTTGACAGAGCAAACAAATATTGTATGAACAGATTAAGAACACTGGAACTGCAAGATTTGTTTGCTGAATGTAGGCTCAAGTCAAGCTTTGGATCCAATCAGAAATTTGAGAAACCAAACTCTATGTGAGAGGCGGGTTGGCTTGATTTGACACGCTCTAGAAGAACGAATTGCGTGAATGGTGTTACATAATCAGATAGCGAAGTCTAAAATACGTTTACAACAAGAAAAATCGAAACAGAATTCTTGTAAAAATTCAATTTTGTTTTCCAATTATGATTCATGGACCCAAAGCCCCCAAACAATTGTTCCGCAATTATATATCAAGGAAATGTGTGTATGGTTTGCCAGCAAAGTTTGGTGTGTATAAAGGAATATAGAAAAGAGTCATTCTTGACAATGTTTTAGCTTCGGGATCAAAATGGTAAATTGAACTCTCTTGCTTCTTATTTTCCTGTCAAGTTTTGGGTAGTAAATGCATCAAAGGTCTCACCAAAACAACCTCTATGTTTTTACACATACATCTTGACCCCCCCCCCCCCCCCCACCCCCAAAGACCCCAACGAAGTTGGGATCATATACTGGATTTGTTGTTTTGTTATATTGCTGTCCACTTTTCCTGTGAAATTTATGGTTGTGGCTGGCAATGGAGTAAACTATGACTACCCCAAGTTCTATGATCATTGGTCCACCTCTTGAAGCACAAATGCAATCCAAGAATATTCAAAATTAGAATTTCACCCGCAATGAAACCCACAAATAAACACATTTTGAATTATGAATCATTGAATTGTTTTTAGAAAATGCAGCATGTTCTTGGCATGATTAGAGATCAGAGTTCAGTTACTGGGTCTTAATCCAGGTTGGATCATAGCCAATGCTGGAAACCGGTATGACTATCTGGAATTTCCATGGCAATCCTAACCTGGGCATTGTTTGGAGTCTTAAACATAAAATCTGTGGCAGATAACAGCCAATGCTGGTGGGATCATAGCCAATGCTGGAAACCGCTTCGTCAATCTCGCAAGATTTACAAAATCCGTCTATAAGAAAATTGAAATTCTCAACAGGAGGAGAGCAACCAATACTAGTTTCTCCATTTCATTGAAGACAACAGTTGCCTCCCTCACCAAACCATTCCTGCACACACCACAGTTGAGGAAATTAAGTTGTGGGGTAAGTGTCCAGAAAACAACCATTCTTTGACAACTCTAGCCGGAGATATCTTGCTTCGTCAATCCTACCCAGACTTAGAGAACCCATTGAGCAACACATTGGTAAGTTTCATGACATGGAGTGTAACCTCTACTCTTCATCAACTGAAATAGCCAATGCACATCACTTATTCTCTCTGCCAGACAAAGCCCTGAAAGAATAAAGGTACCAGTCATTCTACTTGGGCTGGCAATATTCCTCTTTCACGCATTTCATCGAACAGTTTAAGTGCGCCCAGTGTATTCCTGCTCCTACTGGCTGTTTGGCCAAAATTTTGATTTCAACATCCTATTGTACACACAGATGAAGGTAATAAAATTACACCTTTCTGAACCACGACGCGATGAATGGAATTTTATGCACATGAATTAGCTTTGCACTCGATAATCCAAATCTCTCATTTGGTCGCAGCATTCAATGGCCATTTTTGGAATATGAGATCACATAGGGGTGAGCATGGCCATTAAAGTTCCAAGTTTTTCGATTCGGTATGAATTTTATATTGTACCGATCTCGATCTCAAAATTTTGATTCGGTGTGGTTCGAGATGGTTTGATAAGTTTCGGTAGAAATTGAGATAAATATATACACACCTAATTTAAACTTTAAATTGTCACAAAACCTTTTTTAAAAAATCAAAAGTATATTTAAATAAAGAAACATAAAAAACTAAAAAATTTAAATTTAAATGCAAGAAATACTTATGAAACATAGATTATATTTCACAAATCAAAGTGAACGGATTATAACAAAATGATATTTCAAAATGTCTTAATATTTTTAAATTCATCTACAAAAAACTAAAACTCAAATAAAAGTACAATGTGCATAAAATAAAATTTTTGGTATCAGTTCAATACTTGTTCACCTATAAGATCACATATCAGAGATAATTTTAAAAGAAATCATTCCAAATAATAGTAAAAAATGTAGCATTTATTTTCAAAATAAGATGTTTCATAATTTTATTCTAAAATAAAAATTTACATTGTGATATTATAGCATTGTATAATGGTACGAAGTATTGTAGTTTATTTTTTGATATTATATATTGACATTTTTGACATTATAAGTTTTATTTTTGAGATAAAAAATGTAGAATTCTTATTTTAATATTTTTTTCATGTCTAATCCTAATTTAGTCATTTTCTCTAACTTTAAATATGATTACTATAAGATCAAATTAGATCAAAATTTGTTCCAATTAGATCAAGTGAAAAGAACTTGTCATTACCTTCCAATAGACAGATATCATCACCGCCAAAGCATTCAGAGAAGTGGGCATTGCCGAATTCCTAAATACTCCTAAATTTAATAAATAATAACATCGATACTTTTAAAATTTTTATATGTTTATATGGCTGCTCCAAGAATTTATACTCCGTATATGTTTATATATCTGTGCTTTTCTTGAGTACTTATGTATTCCTTCTTAAAATTGATAATAAAGATCGATTTTTATTTTTTAATAAAATCGGTTATTATCAAATTCTATCATGGTATCGAAACAGAAATTTCTTCCACTTATGCTTAATATTTCTTCCGTCCATTAATTTCTTTCTCACTTTCTCGTTTGGGTCATCCAAAAATTTCTTTCTTGTTTCGTGGTTTGGCAATTTTTTTAATGAATGTATCATTATATCTTTATTTTTATTTATACTATTCACTTTATTTCATCATATTTAAGGCAATATATGAAAGGTCTTTTATAAATTTTGATTTTTCTTAATCTTCGTGTAATGTCTAACAAGGAAAGAAAATGTTGGAGGGAGGAAGTATATTAATAATCCATGTCCATATCTTATAGGGAGTAAAACATGTCCGAAGTTAAATAAAGTTGAAAGTAACATTTTAAAAACAAAAATGCTAGGAGTACACTAATTTTTGTACCCCATTTGTACCCCCTCCATCTCCACCACACAAAAGCAAGATAAGAAAAAAAAAATTAAAATTATAAAAGGAAATCTATGGCTATGAATGTTGGTGTACAAATGGGGTACACCAAATGGTGTACCCCTAGCTTTCCTCTTTTAAAAAACACATATGTTAATTTTTTTACCAATTTTAAAAAGCAATTTGTACTCAAAATAAAAACAAACAATTAAGATTCCAAAAAAAAGTTATTTAGACTTTGTAAAATAAGAGGGCTGCCAATAATAAATAATAGACCTACCTCGGAATTATCTTTCCACCATGATTATTTTTATTTGGCTATTTTTCTAAGTTTAATACTCCATTTGTCCTAAAATTAACTTTCCAGTTTGATTTTTGTAGTCAAATTTTTTAAACTTTGGCCGTATATTACGGAAAAAATACATTGAATTTTCATATAAATTTATTAGCAATAGATTTATTTTGAAAAATAGTTTCAAAATATATAATTTTTATAAAATTTATTTATATAAAAATTGAGATATTGATGGTCAAAGTGTCGTATTGGAGACCGTAAAAAATCAAATGAAAAGTTAATTTTAGAATGGAGTTAATAGTAATGACTTATGAGGAGATAAACTTTCTTATACTCTATTGATAAGTATTTATTTTTTTTCTTAAAATTTATTTTTCCTAAATAATGATTAGTATTTACTCTTTTTTTAAAGCATAAGTATTTACTTAATATTAATATAAATATTTATTTTTTAAAATGTCATAAATGAGAAAGTTTATACGGAGTATATAGGAGTATTATTTCTTTCTTTTTCCAAACCATGTTACCCCGGAGTATTTTTTTTTGCTTTGATCATCGAAGCTATCGACGGTTGAAATTGTGAGGCAGATGTTTAAACAAAAGTAGATCCTCCCTAAATATTTGTCTGTCATTTCTCAATGTCTCGACTCGATCAGATGTTTTTCCTCTTCTTTTCATAGTGAGCAGTTTTTTTTTTTTGGCATAGTTTTTTTTTTTCTGCATCTCTTATTAATCCGCAGTATTTGCAAAACCATACACTCCATATTTCTTCATCTTAGCCTTCTCTGTCAAAGTCCACAGGCTAGCAAGCAAGTTTGCATGAACAATGGCACTCTTCAGCTAATAAGCACTCCATTTATACTCAAGAATGTTGCTTGTTTGGTTGTACCCTTCATTCATTCCCAGCTCTTCTTGTGATCCTCTTGTTTGGTTCCTCAATTTTCAGCGTTGATTTGGCTAAGGAAAAAAGGGGTTCCAGTTTTCTTGAATTACAATTGATTGTGGGTTTTCTTTATTGTTGTTATCTTTAAACTTTTAAAAGTATTCCAATTGGGTATTTTTATTTTGGGGCGTTTACTCTGATGGCACCATTGAGAGGGTTGAAGAAGAGGAGAAAGGTGGAGAAGAAAAGGGAAGATGAGGAGGAGGTTATAGCTGCAAGGGATGGCTCTACTGATTGGTGGGCTTTATTGTCCAAAAGGGTTTCTGGTAAACTGCTTATCACTTTCATCTGCATTACAATGCTGGTTTTGTTGAGCTTTAGTTTCAAAGATTTAATTTTTATTTGTTTTAATTTGCAATTTTCTTCGATGGGTTGGTCTATGTTACTGCGTATCCGGATTTCTTGATTAATGAAATCTTGGTTTGTTTAGGTTTCCCAGTTTAGGTTAAGATCAAATGAGCAAACTTGGAATCCCTTGGGTATAGTAAACTCATTGAGTATTCAATTATAAAAGTTTGCCAAAGAACAGTTTTATGCCTAAACTATGCCCTTTCTTGGAATATTAGGAGGTGCCTCGATTGAGAATTGAGAGAAAGAAGGGGAAAAGTGGGAAATTAGCATTAGATTGGAGTTAGTAATGACCTTAGTAGTATGAAACATAAATAAATGTAAGAAGAAAAACATGAAGAAAATGGATAATGATAAATGTGTAAAGGAAAAAAAAGAAGAAGAAAAAGGGTTAAGTTCTAAGCTGTTAGGAGTAATCTATTTGAACAAAGACATACTGCATCTGTTTGGTAGCTGAGTTCTTACTTAGCCATCAATGTGCCCATCTCCAAATGGAAACCCCTAAAAGATTAGTCTGTATATCACCTTTAAAGATAGATTTTCTTCTTCAACAGTTTTGCAAATTGATACAAGATGTATATACATAGTCGGGCGTGTTTGTCAAATTGTCATTGCTTTTACGAATCGTCGCGGCTGAAAAGTTCACAGCAGAAAAAGAAAAACTCCAGTTTTGAGTTTTTTGCAGAATGCCGTTTCAAAGAAGTAGTTCGCATTGGAAATAAGCTGCAGAAGTCAAAAGTTGGGATGAAAGACAATGGCAAACACATAGTAAAGAACTTGGGATTCTAGAACACATTGTAAAAATTCTTAAAGATTGTCGAAGATTCGCACCAGGTCTGCTAAAACCAGATAAAAGTTAAGTTAGGTCTTTTAAGAATTACTAGATTCATGGCCAAGGACTTCATTACTCTCAAGTGCCCATCCACAAAGAAATATGAAGGAAATTATATGATGGGTAAAGTGGGAATAAGAGATAGCTTTCATTTATAATAAACATATTTCCAGTGTAATTCTAAACAAGTTTTGGACAATAAATGCAGCAATGCATCTAGGGTGTAAAGGAAACAGTCCCACCAAACCCCAAGAATGTTGAAATTATGCTGGGTTATTTTTAGTGTAATTCTTTTTCAAATATTTACTCTCTTCTTTTTGTTAGTTTGAGGTGCATCGTTTGTTTCATACCGATATGTCTCTTCGTGTAGGTAGCGTTTCGCCCTCAAAGGGCATGGACAACTTCCAATCTATGTTCAAGATGTCAAGAAAGACATTTGAGTACATATGCTCACTGGTGAAGGATCAGATGATGCTAAAGTCTGCAAGTCATCTCTTCACAAATGGGAAGCCAATGTCTTTACACGAACAAGTCGCTTTGGCCGTGCGAAGGCTATGCTCGGGCAATTCCTTGATAGTGGTCGGGGAATCGTTTGGTGCGCACCACTCCACCGTGTCTCAAGTGACGTGGCGCTTCGTGGAGGCCATAGAGGAAGTCGGGGCCCACCATCTCCGGTGGCCTTCTTCCGAACCGGAGATGGACAGAGTAAAATCAAAGTTCGAACAAATGCGAGGACTTCCGAATTGTTGCGGCGCGATTGACACCACACACGTCACGATGTTGGTGTCGTCGTCCGAACGGACTGCTGACGTCTGGCTTGACGAGATGGGGAACCACAGTATGATCCTCCAAGCGATCGTCGACCCCGAAATGAGATTCCGTGATATCGTAACCGGTTTGCCGGGAAAGATGGACAACGCGTCGGTGCTACAAACGTCGACGTTCTTCAAACTCTGCAAGAAGGGCAAGCGGTTGAGCGGAAAGAAAGTGAAGCTTTTCGGAGAAGCGGAAATGGGGGAATATATAGTCGGCAATTCGGGCTTTCCCCTTTGCCCATGGATCATGACTCCGTACCAAGGGAAAGAGCTTTCGGGACCCAAAGCCGAGTTCAACAAGAAACTTTATGCAACTCGGGTTGTTGCCCGAAGAGCGCTCGCGAGGCTGAAAGGTGTGTGGAAAATGATTCAAGGCAACATGTGGAGACCAGACAAACACAAGTTGCCAAGGTTTATACTTGTTTGCTGCATTCTCCATAATATCATCATTGACATGGAAGACGAGGTTTCGGATGATGAGATACCTCTTCCCCGCCATCACGACCGTGGGTATCCGAAACAGGTTTCTGAATCCGTCGATGAAACCAGTTCCGTCATGAGGGATCATATGTCCATATATTTGTATGGAAAGAAGTTGCATTCTTGAATTGGCAAGAAGAAGAATCATGAGCAGCATTTGCCAAGATGTCCTTTGTAGTCTGGTTTTGTCCCTTTTTTTTAGCTTTGGATGTTTGTTTGTTGCCTTAAAATTCCCTACATTTCCAAACTCCAATAAAAACTGTCATTGTTTTTGGGTCATTCCTTTATAACTTTCTTCTTTTCAGTCTCACTTATTCAGCTAAAAAACCAGAAAAGTAACAAGAAATCCAGTCGTTCAAAAAGTGGAATATTTGGAGAGAGTAAATTCTATGAATGACATGGTTTCAATTAAATAATTGATCCTCAATTTTTAAAAATTATTGCATAATCTATCCTTCATGGACTAATTCTAGAAAACATATTGTCTTGGCCTAAATGCCTATTTATGAAATAGTTTTTAAAAATTGAGGATTGTTTATGTAATATCTTGGAGTTAGAAATTAAATATGGAAAACCATCTATAACTAGACATCATTTATGGAATTTACTAAATATGTAAAACCACCTATAATTTGGAAATAAGTATCCAAAAGTTTGAATAAGGTAGCAGTAGAGGGACCAAAAGTAGAATGTTTTCTATTTATACACAACACACTAGTTTTAATGATAATAAAGTTAAAAAGGAGTTAAGGTTATTTATCACAAGGCAAGATTAGAACCAACTTGTGTTTACACAAAATCAAGAAGTTTTGTCCATGTAAGACATGAATCTCTTGATCCATTTTTCCTTTACAGAGTCTGAGACCAATGTATCGCCAATGAAAGGGTTCCATGCGTCCCCCTTATGATTCGCTAGCACCCAATTGACTTTGGATGGTGTCCTACCAAACAAGGGTTCCTCTCTAGATGCTTTACTCCTCGGCACTGCGTTGTGGTGCAGTTTGAACATCTTGGAGAGAGGAGCATTCTCACGGTTCAATTCACTTAAGTGTCTCTGAACAGATGCCATAGACCGAAATCTCATGCCAGTGCCGGGTTCGTAATAATACTAGCACCCAAAAAAAAGCAATTGGAAAATTTAGGCCTTTGTTCTGTAACCAATGCATAGAAATTTCATCACAAGGGTAATTAGAGGAGAACCAAAGCATACCTTATCTTTGTAGCTCCCGGTTGCGCGGGGTACCTCTTCCACTCTCCAACCATCGGGAAGCTGGTTGGTATCTGCAATATCTTCCCTCTCCGAAGGCACGATCGCCCAATGGTTCGGACTCTGTTCTTCCTCATCCCACTTAAGCATCTGCACGTTTTGTTGTGTCCCATCAATGACTAGGCATAAATAGTTGAATATGTTGATTTTTTTATATAGGAGAAGCATTTTTGTCAAACCCATTTCACACAAATAAGCAACTTAAAGCTATTTATCCAGCCCTCGGCTGCAAACGATGCTACCAAAAATAGAACTTTTTGTATATTTACACTCGGGGTTTCATAAAATATAAAAGATTAACATAGCAAGTGATCATAGTTCATACACCACTTCAAGGTGTAATGGAAACAACCTCTCTGTTTTTACAAGGCTAAGGTTGCATACAGCTTGACATCCTAGAGACCAAGACCCATGGGAGTTGAGATTATACTGGGTTTGTTGTTCTTGTACAACACTTCATTTGCATTTTACTTGTTTTTGGAAACATTTTATCTATCAAGATCTCTGTTTGTGTAGTGTAGTTTAAGGCTTTATTATTTGATGAAACCTTTGCCAATGATACTTTCAATTGTCTACTCATGTGATAACAAATTGATTAAATTAAGTTTCATGGTACTCAAGTAAAACAACACATCAAACAATCAATCACCATTCCAATATTACTTGGCAATTCTAACCTAGAATTCCTAAGACTAGACATGAGAATTTTACCTTTCCACCTTGAATAATTGTCTTCCTCGGAGAACTCTATCGGAAATTCACGAGAAGAAAAATAAAAACAAGAACCACACAATTGCAACAGCTGGAAATGACGTGTGGACATAAACTCCTAACTGTAAATGGAAGAATTCAAGCTAAGGAAATTACCTCGGGATGATTATCTGAACTGGATCTATAAACACGGCTAACTTCTTCTCCGTTCACGTGCCTCTCTACATCTTTCAGCGACCTGAACTTCGCTCCTGTCTCCGGCTCGTAGTAATACTGCAATAGAATTAACCTCGTTTCGTCAATCGCTTCTCAGATTTCTCGAAACCGTGAAAATACTACCCTAATTTCAGGTATATATGTATAGATAGAGAGAGGGGAAACTGAGCACCCTGTCGAATTTCGAGCGATCGGAGCGAATGACTTCCTCCACGCGCCAACCGGCGGGGAGACTGAACCCGGTATTGGTGACGAGATGGGCCGCCGGCGCTGCCGCAACCGCTAGTTGACTTTCGGAGCTGGAGCTTCGGTTTCCGGTCCGGGGAGGCTTCCGCTTTGATTTTCGTTTCGCCATGGCCGGCGAACGCGAAACTAGTTGTTAGAAACTTAAAGGGTGTTTGGACATTTTGGCTTTGGGCTTTGGTGAGTTTTTTTTTAACCTGTGGTCTTGTGGATTTGCCTGAAATGATACTCCACACTTCAAATTTACTTTTGTGTCAAATTAACCACTATCTAACAACTGATCAACTTGGAGTTTGTTCTTTATGGATTAAATTCTTAACTTTTAGTTTTTTTTAAATTTATTTCAGTTACTTTCACGTCTTTCCGGTTTCTTTCATTTTCTTCTAGTTTTTTTCAACTATTCTCATTTTTTTTAATTTTTTCTACTTCCCAACCAATTATTCTAAAAACAATATATTTCTAATGTGATTACTATTATTACAACTGTTATGTTCATAACTATAGTTTATAAATTATTATTTTCATCTCACTATTTTTACGATTCACACTCATTATTTTTTCTTCAACTTTTTAATATGAATAGGACAATTTTTTATATATTAATCTACATGATATAACAGGAACACATCAATATTTTAAACTATATTAAAAAATTATGGATAAAATAGGTACATATAATGTTTATTAATCTAACGACCCCTCACCTTTCCCTTTATTACTCAAATATTTCTCATTTTTCTAATTTTAATAAAAAGAAATTGAAAGCAAACTAGTTTAGAGAAAAAGAACAAAATAGGAGTAAAACATAAAAAATGTGAAAAAAAGTTCTATGTCTTTATTCTAAAATATAGGAGTTACAAACTTACAATGAAAATAAAATGTCAATCATGAAAGAAAAATATGTTTGGTTACATTATGTGACATGTCCTGATATTTAAAATAAAACTTTGTTAGATATAAAGTATACAACAACAACAACAACCCAGTTAAATCCCACAAGAGTATGGTCTGGGGAGGGTGTGTGTACGCAGACCTTGCCCCTACTTGAAAGTAGAGAGGCTGTTTCCAAAGAGACCCCCGGCTCAACGTCGAAAGTTGCATTGCTTGACTAACTGCTACTTCATTAATTAAAGAAGCGCAGACAGTTTAGAGATCCATTTTGATTTATTCCATCACACCCCAAAGCCAAAAAATGGTGAAATTTTGGCTCCATCGGAGATGATGGAAATTAGATATAAAGTATAATTACAAATATATTATTTACAATAAATACTACATAAATAAATTGATGTGCAACGTAACCACAACAACTTTTTAAAATTAAACATTTTGATATTTATGCTAACTTTATATTATAATTTTTTTTGCAAAAGTAGTTTTTTTGTGTATGAAAAATAACAACATAAGTAGGTTTTTTTTATTTTAAAGGCATTCTATAAGACAACGTGATGATGATGACGACGACGACGACGACGATGGCCTGGTAATAATAATAATAATAATAATAATAATAATAATAATAATAATAATAATAATAATAATTTAGAATTTGAAAAACATAAAATTACACTAAAATAATTTTTTTAAAAGTTTTTTTAGGTTTTCCAATTTTTTGAAGTTTTTAATGTTCTTCCAGTTTTTCCTGTTTCTTCTAGTTCCTTCCAGATTCTTCCAGCTTTTTCGAGTTCCTTCCAGTTTATTCAAGTTTCTTCCAACATCTAGCTCTTTTTTTCTAGTTCTAAAGAACATGCTCTTAGTTATAAGTCTAATAACAATTTTTTAAGTATATACGGAGTATAAAGTAAGCTAAAATAAATAATTCATACAAGTATTAAAACAAGATCTTAATCCATTCGTCTCAAATTAAATTATCTGTTTATTATTCACACGGTCAAACTTCATTTACTATCTTTTCCTATTTTTGTTAGTAATTTAATAAAATAATGTAGTCATGTTACTACTAATTCTATAGATCTTATGATCTAATTTTTATATATGTGAATTTTAGTATTTTTTTAATTCGACATTATTTTTCATATAAAAAGATTTGAAAATAACTTGAGTCAACATCGTTAACCAAAATAGATAATTTAAATTGGGACGGAGAGATTATCTATTTCTATAAGAATTTTTTCATTATAAAAAGCATAGTATTATATGGGATATGTCGCTGTTTTACAATAGTCTTGTTTTTTGTTTATTTGTTTGCCTCCACACAAATAGGTGGTCTCATAACAAAAAAAATTCCTTGAAAAATCACTCCCACAAAAAGTCAATTGGTGAGATTTGCATCGAGCAAAGTTTCACCATCATACATTCATCACTCCTCCTTCATTAAGCTCTTCATCTATTACCATCATACATACAACATCTATTACCTAATCCATCAATCATTCACGGGAGAAACGAATACAAATGGATGAAACAGATAATATAATTAGAATTATTAATAACGTTTCACTATACTATTCTCTCTGTCCCGGAGTATTCGTCCAGTTTTAACTTTTGGAACTGTTCATCTAAGCACTTTGACTCATCAAATTCTCTCAATGTGTAAGCCTAAATATAGTCATGTGTGATCTTATTTGATTTGTCTTAACATATAAATTATTAATATATAATTTCTCTAATTTTTTAATATACAAATTACAAGATAAAATGGATTAAAGGAGTGTATTAGATGATGTGTAAAAATGAAAATGGACAAATACTCTGGGACGGAGGTAGTATTATAAAGGGACGAAATAGTAATGGTTAGAAAGCATTTATTTTGTATAATAATAACTTTAATAGTAATGGGACGAAATAGTAATGGTTTATGGTAATCTTTTCTCCTTCTAAATTTACATCGTTAAAGATAGTGCCACATGTATATCTATTATCAAAAGAAAACTTCATAAAGATTAAACATGTGTTGTAAACAGAGAGTAATATTAATAATATCTATTTCTATGTATTAAAAATATTGGATTCAATACGAGTATATGGAATACTGAATTATGGAGTAGTTTATTTGAAATAACACATATGTATGTTTTTTTAAAACATGGTATTACTTTTTATATACAGATATAGATGGTTCGGGAGATAGATCAGGTGACAGATGAAAAAACCCCACCAATATTTATCTGATCCATCTATCCTCCATATTTATCTTGGCATTCATTCGTTATAGCGAATTGAGTAAGACTTGTGTCCATCTAATCAAATAGAACTCTAATTATTATAAGAATGATCACACAACCTTATTATTAGCCTTACGCCTAGTCTAAGGCTAAGATTCCTAAGAACATTACCATTTGATAGGTGTATTCCACCCACACTCGGCCCGAATCTGGGTCCATAGTATGTGACCGGTCAGATAGAAGATTATATCAAAATGATAGATTTGGTCAGATTTTCATCTAAATTGGTTTGACAAAAAATTGACCGTATAGTTTCGTAACACTTCCGGTTGGGGAGCGTGACCTGGCTCTGCTTATCTCCTATCTAGTGAGACGCGTGTCCGGTTAACCTACCGTCCTATCGAGTGGGTTGATCATATATAAAAGTGTCGACATGAGTAACTCCAAGGGTGGCTGGACGATAGTGACTGAATTTCACAAAAGATTGCAGTAAATATTTCAACACTCTCGTCCAAACACTACGCGCCAAGGCACTTGCCATTAGCACAAGCCGACAAGGGATTGAGACAAACGTCACAGGACGAAAGAAAATTACCTCACGCCGTCCAGGCACATGGTCCGATGTGGGCACCCTTTGTCATATCCCCTAGTCCTATTATAAATATTGATGTAAACTCTCAGTGTTGGAAATCTAAATTTTATCTCTAAGTGTGTGCATTGTAATCTCGCCCGTACAATCTATATACTCCGTATTAAATAATAATCAGGCCACAGGTGTTTCTACATACAGCCCTACTAGTCATCCTTTGTTTTGTGTTCTTTACTCCCTCCGTCCCCCTGTATTTGTCCATTTTTTACTTTTGTAACTGTTCATCTAAACACTTTGACTCATCAAATTTTCTCAATGTGTAAGCTTAAATATAATCATGTGTGATCTTGTTTAATTTGTCTTAACATATAAATTATTAATATATAATTTCTCTAATTTTTTAATATACAAATTACAAGATAAAATGAATTAAAGAAGTGCATTGGATGGTGTGTAAAAATGAAAATAGACAAATACAGAGGGACAAAGGGATTATTAAACTTAGCAAATTATCATAGACCCGATCTAAAATAGTTGCCCGAATTGTTAATTTACACCATCAATATCAAAACTTATTATAGAGAGATCAAGTATCTTAAAAACAAGTTCTAAAGGTTATTAGGGATTTGCTGCCCGATCGAAGGAAGAAGATGGTAATGGAGAGGAGAGAGTGAAGTAATGAGCAACAATACTTTATCTGTCTCTAAATAATCTATCTTCCTTTGACTTTGGTGGTTTTAGAAAAGTTGGGACATGAAGGCTTCAAGCACTTTCTTATCAAATGATTGAATGATCTCTGGAAATACAAACACACAGGAATTAACAGAGACATCATTCCTTTGATATGCACAATGCAAATCGAGACCCCAAAAAACCCCCCACCAAAACATTCTCCAGATTAGTTTATTTGGAGAACAAAATATAGAATTGAGTACTCCGTATAAGTGAAGATTCTCATTCTTGAGATAATGTAAGACATATCTTGAGAATAAATTGACAGAAATAGTAAATGGATATAGCAAGTTTACATATTGATTGATGATGAAAGAGGTAAGAGAGATTGAACGAGCAGTTATCTCTTCATAACATTTCTGAACAAGCAAAGAACATAAGTTCTAATGCTAAGACTACAATGGCTTCCACCACCTAAAAATCCCCTATGTAGCCACAGCTTTCTTTGGGGACTTGCCGGCTGCCTTGGGAGATTTCGGCTCCTTCGTTGGCCTGTCGGATCCTGTCTTCTTGGGCAACAAAACCGGGTTGATGTTCGGCAACACGCCACCGTGGGCAATGGTGACCCCAGCAAGCAATTTCCCAAGCTCTTCGTCGTTCCTAATCGCCAACAAAATGTGCCTTGGAATAATTCTGTTCTTCTTGTTGTCCCGAGCTGCATTCCCAGCTAACTCCAAAACCTAGAGATGCCAAACGAACAATACATGAATTCATCAGAGCCATGTGATTGAACCTCAGATCCGCTCTGAATCAAACTGATTCAAATTCCAATTGAATTCCAATGGGGTGAATTAGGAAACAGAAACCCTAGGAAATTAAGAGAGTCGAGCAAGGAACAAACCCTATGCAACGGAGAAGACGATCACGGATCCAAAATGTATTATCCATACGAAATACATAAACTCATTCCGGTGAGAGAAAAAAGGGGAACTTACTTCAGCAGCCAAGTACTCGAGGACGGCAGCCATGTAGACCGCGGCGCCGCTACCAACGCGCTGAGCGTAGCGGCCTTTCTTCAAGTACCGGCCAATTCTACCGACGGGAAACTGGAGGCCGGCGCGGATGGAGCGAGTGACGGGCTTCTTCTTCGGACCACCGGCTTTCCTGCCGGCGGCTCCCTTCTTCGCCTTGGCGGTGGCGTCCATGGGAGATGATCGGAAATAATATGTGAAGAAGAAATGAGGGAAGGGATGACTCACCGAGCGAATAATGCGATTGAAAGTCCGGTTAGAATGAGCCTTTTATATGTAAAGTCGCCTCAGTTTCATTTTTTGGGTTTTCGTGGATATATCGTAATGGCCGTTGGATTAGTTATGATCGACGGCAGAAAACAAAAGATGGCCTGATCCGTGTCGCGTGTATGGACCAATCACAATCGATCTTGAGTTTGTGTTTATTCCTCCCCCACTACATTATACTCCGTTAGACTATAGAGAGGGTTTACTATACGGATTTTGCAAGATTATTACTCTCCTTTAAAATTATTCCGAGATATCATTCATTTTCTGATAATAACTTTCACATCTAATATTGTCTCAAATACATCATGAGATATCTTCGATTTTCTAATAAGAGCTATCAAGTCTCATATTCTCCAAAATATACTCCAAAGTCTTTAAAATTTGTGATATTATATTCCGAGGGTATACTCTGTTATCAAGATTGAAAGTTCATTTATTTTGACAAATTGAAAATTTTTTATTTAAATCTAATGAAATAATGATTACCAGGGTAAAATTTAGTACTACCTATGTCCAAGCGTGTGGCCTAATTGGATTGAGTTGAATTAGACAAACTTTGAGCTTTAATTACTTTCAATTTGTTTTTTTACATATTAGTATAATAAAATAAGATTTTAAAAATTCTCAACAAAATAGATCTAATAAAATCATTTTTACACAAATATATATTATGATTTTTATTTAATTAAAGCTCAAAGTTCATCTATTTTGATTCAAAACAGTGAAGTTTAACAGATAAACACTAACGGAGGTAGAACATGTCAAAGTAACAAAACTTTTAATTTTAATGGCTAAACCGATGAAATGTACCCTCTGACTGCATTATCACTAATTTTAAGAACCCTAAAGTTTATTTCAGATAATGTGAAACATGATCAACAGACACATTCGATCAGTTTGTGCTCTACATAAATGCAGTCTAAAGGTATGTTTGAGAAATGACAGACCTTCCATACTTGTTCTAGACATAAACGTTTTATCCGATTGAAGTATTTTGGAATATCCCGAAACAATTTTAATCTAAAAGGAATTGCACGATTCGTTTAGCCTACTACATTTTTTTCACTTTTGTTCGTATAGTATTCTACATAAAGTTATCGCCCCTCTCGGATTTCTAACCGAGCAGTGTTGCACACCCCATTAACAAATAAAACAAAACCCTACACAATCCCGATGTAAATCTCTTCCAATAAATAACGCATTGTCCTCCCTTATGGAGCTCTTTACGTTAACTCCCAAGTCAAATTCTATGAAATTTCTCTTATGTTATATTAACTTTTGTTTTCTGATCATTTTCATCTCAAATTTCACTTTATCCTTTGAATCACATGGGTCGTACAACTCATATTTTCACATATGCCATTTACATGACTTCCAAATCTACCATATGGTGTGTCGTATCATCTCTAAGGGAGAGAAACAAGAGTTTACCATTCGAGATAAAAAAATGTAATTTTATTGGGACCGTATATGGTAGTGCTATCTAGTGACATATATGAGAGAATGCTAATTGTGAGAAGGTCACAAAACTATATACACCATGCATCAAATAGCAATAAGAGAATGTGATTCGTGTGATGCATGACGATCACGATGTGATTCAAATCTCGAACATGTACTGTTATTTAGATCTTATATTATGTTGTGAATATTCTTGTAAAATATGTTGTCATCATGATTGTTATTAAATGAATGAAATGAGAGATATGAACTAAGAGAGCTTGGAATCAAACATAGTTTTAACTAGGAGACGTGATCTCTACAACCAATTAAATTTTGAAGTGCATTGTTTGTGTGGACATTAACATCTTCCACGAAACGAGTAAAGTGTATGTATATGAGATCTCTGATTTAGGCTGAAGGCTAGCTAGAGGTTCCATCTAAACAGCTTCACTCGACATCGTAAAGATCAGAAACATTACCTCAAATTAATCATGTCATTCTTATTTCTAGTCCATCACAAACTAATTATCTCATTTCTTTATTTCGTATAAATAGTTAGGTAGAAAAGAGGGGGAGGGAAACACATGATTCGCTTGGCTCACATTTTGTAGTGTTAGTAAGAATGTGTACAAAACCCCATAAAAGATGTGTGGGAAGCCAAAATGAGCCCGTTAGATTGCATTTTTTATATCAGAAGGGAGGAAAAAGAGTCAAGGACCTCAATATTGGTATCTCACTGACACAATTCTAGCCCAATGATAGCCCGTTTTATCTTCATCCATAGCATAAAGTACACAATCGAGTGGAGTTTCATCGTCTTTCCACTTAATCACTTAGTTGTTCCCCATATTGGTTGCTTTTTTTAAATTACTCCCATCTATTTCTTTCTTTTTATTAGTCTGTATTTACCTTTTTTTCTTTTTTAGGCTGCACGATATGGGTTGTACCATCCATATCATTCTCACTTTCAACTCAATGCCACATTAATTTTTTCTATTCCATTTCTATTTCATCCCCATTGCTGGGTGTGGATCCCTATTCAATCCCTATTTTAATTTTTTTAATAAATATTACTTTAAAAAATTATTTAATTATTTTAATTAAACCAAAAAAACTAAAAACTAAAAATGAAAATTAAAAATAAAGACTGAAACTGGAAACTAAAAAATAAAATTAAAAGTTAGATCTAAGAAGAATGTGGGTTTGAAAAGAAAAAATAGATGAAAACAAATGCCTGCAATAAGAAGAAGAAGAAAAACGAAAAATGCAATCGGTGTACTCAAAACATTGCTCCCTCNGTTCCTGTCGATACTCGACGCCACACGAAGTTCCCCCGATGCCCACACCGTGTGACCTTACAATCTAAAATACACTTTGCTGCTGTGCAATATAGTTTCCATTTGGGATTAAAAAAGATGATGTGACAAATATTGTCAAATAATCCTCGAATCTTACCATTCCATCATCTTATATGGAACTAAAGATTCACTATTTTTTAGATTTTGGGATATGATAGAATAAAGCAGAATGTACCTTTAAATTATCTGTCATTTTTTAATTGTGAAGTAGTAGTCAATCAATACAACTTTTAACGCTCATCATGGGTAATCTGGAAATAGCCGCTCTATGTTTAAAACAAAGGGGTTAGGCTGCGTATGTGATAACCAGTGATGCTTAAGGTGAGGGTCTTTTTGGAAACAACCTCTATACTTTCGAGTAGAGGTAAGGTCTTTTGTGCACAGTGGAATTCAATTTGGTTGTTATTATTGATGCTGAAATCTCTAAATCCATTTTATATTGGGGCAGTCTTAACTTCCACCTCTCTACACCTCCTTTAGAAGAAAATGATCGGTCGGCGTATGTAGCTTACTCGATTGAGCAAGGGGTGGCAAAGGGGATAAATTTAAGCTCGATTCATGACAACTGTACTGAGAACAATTATACTAAGCATATAACTTCTACAAATATTAGCGATTGCAGACTCCACTTTTCGCTTGTCAGTCTATGATTCTAGCTCAATATACTCGCTTTTAGATGTCCGTCAAGCTGGTTCTAAAGAAACTCTGGGGATGATGCCATCTTTTTTTTCTTTAGAATAAAATGGGTTGAGAAATAATACTCACCCCGTCATAAAATGATCACATTTTGTTTTGTAAACTTTTGATGTAATTTTAAAATATATAGTTTTATTTTTTAATTTTGCATGTATAATATAATAAATTGAATTGAAAATAATTTAAGTAAAAATATCTCGCATACCGAATTGAAAAAATTACTTTAGGATGAAGGAGTAAACTAATTTTGGTCGAGAGAACTAGAGAAGCAAGTGCTTTGGGATGAGGTCAATTATACTCTCTCCGTCCGGAAATGTTCTTCACATTTGACTTTTCTTGATCAAAGTTTATAAACTTTGATTACGATTTGTGGAAAAACACATTGTATTATAATGTAAATTTAATATCAACATGGGTGGCCTGGAGGGTGTGCAAAATGGCCAATCGCACAGGGCCCCTAAAATTGTAGGACCCCATATTTTTAAATTTGTTAATACTTTTAAAGGAAAATATTCTAAAACAAATAAAATAGGGCCCAAAATATAAATTTAGGACCGTGCCAATTTTGTTTTTTCGGGGCCGGCCCTGAATATCAATATATTCATAATGAAACGTAGTTTTCAAATATCAATTTTTTAAATAAAATATATTTATCTATAAATATAGATATTAATGGTCAAAGTGCGATACTGGAGATTGTGAAAAGTCAATTGAGAAGAACTTTTGGGGACAATGGAGTAAGAATTACTACGTGGCAGCCAAGTATTGGCCTGACCAAACTACCCAGGGGTTAAATCGGTAAATGCATATCCACATACTCCGTCTATCATTTTTTCTCTTCTCCGCCGCTAATGCTGATCTGTTTAAAGCAAAAGTCTTTTCCGGTTCAAACGCGCTCTTCTATATATATATATATACGCGCAGAAGAATATCTCTCTACATTTGCCCTAACTTAGTCCTATATCTCCGCTCGTATCTCGCCGTCCTTTCCCCGATCACCGCGCGCTGCCATGGTTTGTCCCGCTCAGATCTCTATACCTTCAGCACACACACACATATCAAGCTAAAATTTGAGCTTTTTTTCTTCAATTATTATTATTATTACTGTTCAATTTCTGTTTTTCGTGCCCGATCTGATGTCTTGATACCCTTGTTCTGATGATTTTTAGGTTTCGGATTAGTGTATGGATTTCGATTTTTATTCTATAATTGTTTGATCTTTCAATGTTTGGCGAAACTAGCTTTCTGAGTACCTGATCTTTGATTTATTCGATGCGTGTGGTCTTAGCTGAAGATTCGGTTTAATTTTGAGGCGTTGATGACTAATATTAGCTCGAAATCGTTAGTGGTGTTAGGAGATCTATAATTTTGACACTTTTAGTCGTGTTATTTGATTTTTTATTGTTATTTTTTGTTTTCAACCTTGGGTATATTTTTTTCCCAACCTTGGGTATATTTGGGGAGGGATTCATCTCCAACCATTTGAGCACCCCACCACTTCAATTGATGTTATTTATCATTACTTAATAGAAAAATTGTTTATTGAGCTCAAGGAGTGTAACATTTCCATTTTTATCCAGTTATTTTGGATTTATGGTACGGAATTTCACTGGGAGGGGAGTGCAAGCTGATTTCTTAATTGTTGTTCTTTGAGCTATTTGGCTAATTTATTTTAGCAGTGATCTGATATATTTAGATAGGTGTACTGAATCTCTGTAGCAAATGCTTGATTTTATTATTTGTATGATCATGTGACCCTTGAATTTACTCGCGAATTATTCTCTTTTATTTTTAGGGAGTGTTGAATTCCCATTTCTAATGGATAACTTGTGTTGTATTGATTACTTTTATGATGACTGCCACACGGCTGGATTGCAAACTCTGTATTTCACTAGAGAGTTTTTTGTCCTAAGAAAGAGTATGTCAATAACATATCCGCAGTAGTTCCAAAGGTGTGGCCGGGGAAGGGTGGGGGCACATAAACCTTGCTCGTGGCCTTTTTTTGTCCCCAAAACAGTTATGATTCATAATGTTGCTTGCCAAGCAAAGAAGTTACAAACAAATTGATCATGATAAGATTAGTTAAACAAAAAATTATAACTTAAAGTGTAAGTATGATTTCATCATGACTTCTATCTTTTTAAAACTAGAATGTTGTATCTTGACAAACACGACTCTTCTTTTGGACCAAGGGAGTATTTGTATAATGTCTCATTTTCTTTGTCTTTCATTTGGGTGTTATTGGTAAATATTAACAGTAATACAGACACTGGTGAATTAACGGGTATTCTGTTTCAGATAACATTCTATCTTGTTTGTGAGTTGTACAATCTAATTAAACAAATAGTGATGCTAATACGTGGCATCTGTTTGGAGTCGTCTGTGTTACTTAGCCCCTGCTGTTATGTTGATTTAATTTTTTGTATGCATACTCTCATCAGGTGCATTGCACATATACCAGTAATACAACCCTTGCAGGACACATCATTTTTCCAAGTAAAGCTGCTGACTTGCAGCAAGAGCATTCCATACTTATCTATGTTATGGGGGTTAAACGCCCTCAATAGCACTATTACTGCAAATCACACTTATTTATTATTGAGGAAATTGACCATCTCGTCTTTTGTGACGATAACATATTTGGTCAGCCTTACTTTCCAGTTCAGATTCTGGAAATTTATTCTTGCAAAGTATTTTAGAGGGAGGTTTTAAATTATCTATGCCTCTCATATTTTCCTGGGTTGTACTTGGATATGATTATGGAAGCAGAAAGCTGGAAGTACAATTCATGGTCCTCTTACAGCCTTCTAGGTTTTTTTAGACCAAACAACTATTCACTTGTCTTTGTTTATGAAATACATATATTTGAATACCTTATAGCCTTTTGATTCAGTCAAGACTTGAATGGTTGCCTTTGGTCTGAAATGCACAGGCAAATGCTGCATCTGGCATTTCAGTCCACGATGATTGCAAACTGAGATTTTTGGAGTTGAGGGCGAAGAGGACTCACCGGTATATAGTATTCAAGATTGAGAAAATGCAGGTAGTTGTGGAAAAGCTGGGTGAGCCAAAAGAGGGGTATGCTGATTTCACCACAGCACTGCCTGCCAATGAGTGCCGATATGCTGTCTATGATTATGACTTTCTTTCAGTAGATAATGCCCCAAAAAGCAGGATTTTCTTTATTGCATGGTAACGAACATACATTTGAGTTTAATGTGAGCATGATTTTGAAGTGTAGACTAAAACTATTGGTGTGCTTGTGTTTTTTATGTGAAGGTGTCCAGATACAAGCCAAGTTAGAAGCAAAATGACATATGCAAGCTCCAAGGACAGATTTAAGAGGGAATTAGATGGCATTCAGGTGGAGCTGCAAGCGACCGATCCCAGCGAGATGAGTCTTGATGTCCTCAAAGAACGTGCGAAATAAATACTCTTCTCCCCTATTGCCATGCTTGATCTGCTGCTCTCTTTGCTTTATGATTCCTCCATCCAGAGAGAGATGTGTTTATAGTTTGTGTTCTTTGGGCCACTTGACATTGCAAAGATTGTGTATTAGTGTGTTCCCTTCTCCCTCCACTGCTTTACCTCTCCATCTTTTAGACCCCTCTTTCTGGTTATGTACCCTGGAGTAGTTTTCTTTGTTGACATTTGCATCTCCAGATTCGTGTGTTTGAATGAATGTGTGTGATGAATTTCTACGCTTACACTGCACTAATATGGCTTTTTAATTTGACCCGTTTATACTAATCGTTTTAGGCTGTCTGGGGTTAGCTGATGTTCTTTATTCATTTTCTACTTCATGGAAACAAAAACATTGAAATACTCTTATACAGTATGTCTTCATCAAACAGGCACCACCACTGATGAATTTTGTTTCATAGTAAAACTCCAGAAAGCCTAGAACTCCAATTCACATGAATATTTGGATGTGAATGATGAAAATCTTGTGTAATTATTGTTGATTTCAAGCTTGATAGATGGGATTTTGAGTGAGTCATTTATGAATTAGACTAGCCACAGGTGGTAAGTGAATCAAGATACAACACGTATTTTCTTATGTACTTGGTTGGTTTGACATTTTATTCTTTCATCCTCATATATGTAAATATTTCATTTTGTGAGCCCTAAGGGACTGTTTGTTTTAGCCTTTTAATGGTTCAGCACTTAATGGTTCAGACTATTTGTTTCAGCCTCTTAATGGTTCATATGTCTGAATGGTTAAGAGATTTGCTTCTGAATGGTTAAGTATTATACAGAGTCTGAATGGTTAAGACCTCTTATCTGAATTGATCAGACATTTGCCTCTGAATAGTTAAGCAATATACTAGCTCTTAATGGTTCAGACCTCTTACTGGTTAAGCACTTAATGGTTCAAACCTCTTACTGGTTCAGCACTTACTTATTCAGAAGTTGCCAAACAGCTCCTAAGTGTATCCATTTAATTGCCAAGGACCATGTAGTCCAATGACACTGTTAACACTCTTCCATGTATATGAGAAGTCATGTGTTCGATTCCCGGTAGAAGCAGTAACTCAAAGTGCATTCTTCTTGAATTTTTTTCCCGTGTAACTTACGGTTATGTGGGGTAAATATACACTTAAATTTCGTAAATCTTCCACCACAATGGTGAGAATCCTAGAATCATCATCCACTGATACACAACAACATGATCAAGTGGAATTGCAATGCAAAACAAATACCAAACCTGACTAAATGCTTGACTTCAACCAAAACCTATTATTAATAAAAGCTCCCTTTAAAACTCCAAGTTTTTCCCTATTGTCTACTTTGGGACTCATGAGTTTTTTTTTTAAAAAAATAAAGGTTGCGTGGAGGCTCCACAAAATCATCATAACTATTGGCATTGTTGATTTCAAATGCACTGGTGCCATTGTGAATTGCTTTTTAAACCCACAATTATTACAAGTACTACACTGTTAAAATTAGTGGGTACATTATTCTCTATGGGTGGGTTCCAGTGCCACTGGAATTCGGTGCCACTCCGGTGCCACCGGCATTTTGGGGCACCTCCGGTGCTCCATTCGCAAAATTGATGATTCCTACCCTCCCTAACCCACCCCCTAAACCTCCCACCCTACCCCTGCCCCTGCACCCCCACCCCAACCCCGCCGTAAGCCCCCCACAAAATGTGTGGCTATCATGCAACGCACATTAAAAAACCCCTCCGTCCGTCCCTAAATAAAGAAATATATACTACTCCCTCCGTCCCTAAATAAAGTTCCTCTTTCGTTTTTTCTTTGTCCCTAAATAAACTTCTCTTTTACCCCTTACTTTTTCATACCCTACCTATCACATCATACTTTTTTACTAATAATCTATCTATCACATCTTACTTTTACACATCACATCAAGGGTATTTTTGGAAAGTCAACAAAAAAATATCTCTTCCTTAAATCCTCAAAAAGTCAAAAATGGAACTTTATTTAGGGACGGAGGGAGTATAACAATTAAAAATATTTCAAAATTATGTCTCAAAATAAATATTAGTGTAAATTATTTAAAAAAAGAAACTTATTCTTTTAAATTTTATATTGAAAATCTTCAAAACGAAAATAAGTAACATGATTATTTTGTTTTAAAAGTAAATAAAGTATATAAGTGAAAAAAGAAGCTACGTACACATATTTTGATTGTGTAAAGGGCGAGAGTAGAGTTTATTTAGGGAGTAATATTTATTATTTTTTGACGATATATATAATCTTTTAATTTGATTTGCATATAGGCCATATATCATCATTAGGTTTTATTTAGTCTTTAAAACATTGATGCTCTATGTATCCTCTATCATTAAGAGGTAAGGGTACTTGCAATTAAGAGGAGCATGGGTGCATGCATGTGTTAACACTAAAATACAATTCAAAGTAATGAAAACCATGCATTGCATAAAATATTTGTTTATGCATGCCTATAAATTCACCAACAAATTAAAATACATTCATTTTCTATTACCACACCCTTGGAATACATTATCATATATCCCAACTAACATTTTTTTATTATTGTTATTATCTTCATCAAAAAAACATATATATAACAAAAATGGCTTCACCAATGCTTGAACTTTTAATGAAAGTAAGAGAATGTGTGCAATGTTGGGAAAGGGTTCCTCCAGTTCCTTCTGAGAGGCGAAAAAGCATAGATTTAAACAACAGAATTAGAGGGGTAAAGACTAAGATTCTTGAGATCCAAGCGAAGGTGGAGAAAATAATGGACGATAATGGTATTCCTCGTTAAATTAGTTGACTACGTATAGTACGTACCATATATTTTAGATACATACATATATAGTAGCTACCTATGTAATAACAACATTATTATAGTCTAGAATAATAAGCTCTGACTATATATATATGTTGGGTTTAATTCATTTGTTTACAATCTTAATTTGTACGTACCTCAACTATGATTTATTTATTTCTGAATAATAATAATAATAATAATAGTATTTGCCAATTATATTAATTATTCTATGAAGTTTCTAGAAATATTTCATTGAATCCGAGCATGTGATTATGCATGTATTTTGAAAGTGTTTTCCTTATAATTATGTAGCGTATATGTTCATGTGTGAGTGCGCATTTGTTTAATCTGAAATTTAATTAAATACAGAGTTCCTCATTTGACTTTGGGGGAAAATAAGGAAGTGTTAAATTGTAGTTGACTTTCTAATTTTGCCCTTGATGTGATGAGTAAAAATAAGATGTGATAGTTTAGTTGTTAGTGAAAAAAGTATGATGTGATAGGTAGGGTATGAAAAAGTAGGGGTAAAAGTGGTTTTTTAATAGAAAGGGGAAGTGTTTTAAGAAAAACAAAAAAAAATGAAAGAGAAAGAGTTTTAAGAAACGGAGGGAGCGAGTAGGACTCAAACATATAATGAATTTTCAATGTATGACTATATATTTTTATTTAGGTCCTACATTGGAAAAATGACTCATATTTTAGTCTTATTTCGTGTAAATTTTTCTTGTTTAATCGCAAAATTGTGAGAAAAAATATAAGTAAATGTGTTTCCGATGTTCACAGAGTATATATGCCATGTCCATAGAGCAAATTTTTTTTACAAAGATAATTCAAATCATAATATCAGCATAAGTAGTATCAACAAGAAAAGAAGGTGGAATGAAATGTCATTCCACCGAATTAGATCTCATAACAAAATTGAAGCTCAAGCTATATTAAAGCCGGCAAAAAAAACCTGTTGAGCATCAAGGCAACAAGGAACAATTTTATTGAAAACAAAAAAAACAAAACAAAATGCTATAGAAATTTACTTGCATATAAAGTCGGGATCCACTATTCTAATCCAAAAGCTTAAGATGATAGGGCAAGGCTTCGCTCTTCTATATATGCAAATACTCTCTCTGTCCCATAAAACCTTTCTTCTTTCTTTTCTCATCGTATCATAAAATACTTCTCATTTCTATTAACAAGTCACTTTTACCCCTTACTTTTTCATACCATACCTATCACATCATACCTTTTTACTAATAATCTACCCATCAAATCCTACTTTTTACCCATCACATTAAATGACATTTTTGGAAATTCAATACCAAAATACACTCCCTTAAATCTCTTCAAAAAGCAAAACATCTCATATTTCATGGGACGGATGGAGTAGTATTTTTCTTTATTTTCTAACGTGAGAACTCCAACACTTAGCTTAAATCCAAAATAACATGAAGTACTACATACGATACACTCACTTATAAAATTTAGTAGGGTCAACTACGTAATTATGTACTCCCTCCGTCCCAGAAAACCTTTCTCCTTTCTTTTTTCATCCGTTCCAAAAAACACTTCTCATTTCTATTAAAAAGTCACTTTTACCCCTTACTTTTTCATACCTTATCTATCACATCATACCTTTTTACTAATAATCTATCCATCAAATCATACTTTTACCCATCACATCAAAGGACATTTTTAGAAATTCAATACCAAAATACACTCCCCTTAAATCCCTTTCCAAAACCAAAACTCCCATGTTTTCCGGGACGGAGGGAGTATGCACTGAAAGAGTTAAAAATTTGAGGTTGATTATGCACATTTAGAGACCAAATGAAGGGGCTAATAGCATGTGTGTCCTCTGTGTTTTACAAAAAAGAGCGTCTAAACCTTCTCTGTTTTCAAAAGTTATTTGTAAAGTTATTGAGGTTTCTAAATAGAGCACACATGCCCCCATTACCAATTTTTAAAACAAAAATGACATTTATGTCCTTTTTTTTCTCGATCTTGAATTTTCACAATTTTGTTTTCCTTTATTATACAAATATATTAAATAAAAAAATACGATTGTCATCTTAAATTAAAATTTTCCATAATGTATTTTTGAAAACAAAAGATTTTTTTGGAGAATGTTACGAAAGAAAATGAAAAATAAAAAATTATGTACAAAGTAAAAATAATAATTGAAAAAGGTAATGAAAAGAAAGAAAAATATAAAAAACAACCTTTTTCTTCAAATATGTATTTTATTTCTTCTTTCTGTTCTTCCTTTTTTAAAGTCCTTAAAAAATTAGTTTACTTTTAAAAAACAAATAAGTTAGAATTAATTAGAGATAGAGTGAGTATATGTTATCTAATTTTTTATTTTATTTATTTTACTTTTACTTATAATGAAAAAGTGTTTTTTTTTCATTTTTTAAATTTCTTTTGTAACATTTTCTAAAAAAATTATTTTTTGAAAATTAAATAAATGAAAAATTTTAATTTGAGAAAGAGGGCGTATATTTCATTTTATTTATTTGTATAAAGCAATTGTAAATAAAAGATTGAAACTTGAAGATAGAGAAAAACATAGGACAAATGTCATTTTATATTTAAAAATAGGCAAGCGTAGGCATCTGTCACTATTTAAAAATTACAAGGGTTTTAAATAGTAGTGTACCATGTCAATCCTTCCCTAACATCCATATCTCACACTCTCAGCATTTCATTTATACTTATCTACAAAGCAATACATAAAACAAAACTAACTTGGTTATTTTATCAAAGACTTGGTTGCATTGGCATCACATTTTTATGGTCACTTTCATATTGTTCTTCAGTGTTCAACAGCTATACAATAGAAAAGAGCAAAGTACTTCCATCCTTCTAATGGAAGAGAATTTTAATCTCTTATTTTATTTAATTATAGTTCAAATATTAAAAATGATTGACTACGAAGAGTTAAAAGTGAACAAATAACCACGAATAGAGGTAGTACTCTATAACTAAATTAAAAAGCTTGGGTCAATCTCTTAGAAAAATTTTAATTTCAAATAATAAGCAGCCCAACGTAAATTTTAAATCAGAATGGGCAAAGTCGACGCCAAACAAGTTACGAAAAACAAGGTGGTGCCAAACAAGCTCGAGGGAGTATTAAAACAATGAATATGTTA